AGAAAACTGAGACGTACAGACCTCACGGGAGTTTGACCCTGGGATGGCAGTCGTGCATCTGCGATAAAGACTTCCTTTCCAGGGAAGGGTCGTGACTAGTAACTGAGCGCCCAGGCTGACTTCTGTGAGCCAGCCCCACCCGCCTGTCTGTTTTCAGTCTGCATCTCCTGGGAGGGGTCCTCCAGTCAGGGCTGCCGCGGAGAGCGCATGGCAACTTACACTGCCCCCCAGAGGCCTGGGAACGTCAGTAGCAGAAGCCAGTCCTCACTGCCAAGAAGTACCTGATGTCAATGACTTTCCCGCAGAGCGTAGCTTCATGTGAATCCGGAGTCACTTAGTCTCTCAGCCTCTCATCTCCTCACCAAAAAAATAGAGATAATAATGCCTCACACATAGGATCGTGGTGAGAATCAAATAAGATAGTAACACATGTGAAACCTTGTGATTTTAGCTATTTCTGTTAGTATGTAGTAGTAATAGTAGTAATTCTTATTCTGACAGTTCTCTTTAAGGGACCAGCTGCCGGGGTGTATGTGTGGTGGGGAGAAGACTTTGCAACAGGGCTCTCCCTTAGAATAAGAGTAGCCAGCAGGCTCTGACTGTGGTTCTTAGTCCCACGCTCTGATATCAAGTAGCTTTTCAGGGGCTCTGTAAAGCAGTATTTGGCCCCAGCCTGGATGACAAACTTGCAACCTCTGGTCAGGTAGAGCTAGCTTTCTCCCCTGCCTCTTTGAGAAGCAGATAGTGGGTGCTAATGGTTAAGGAACAACCTAATTTCGCCCAAGTCCTTATCAGAGTTTTCCATACTCCTTGCTTCACCCTGCCCCCAGTTCCCTTTCCCGCCTTTGCTCCAGGGGCATTCTCAAAGTTATGTGGGCGAGGCTTGATTTTCTTTCTTTCCTTTTTTTTCTTAACAACCACCTGAAAATGCCACCCTCAGGGACCTGGGGCTGTGGGTTGCATAAAAGCTCAAAGGAACTCTGTCCTGCACAGTTGGGACCTACCACCTCCCTTACGTTCACGTGCTCCCCGTTGGCACGATGCTCGCGAAGACCCTGGTACTCACAGCCTGGTTCGCCCTAGTTGTGGCTTACCCCGTAATACACCAGGGTAAGTGGACCACTAGGAAGTCTGTTGGAGAATAGAACTAAAATTCTTTTATGGGGTGTGTGTGTGTGTGCATGTGTGTGTGTTTTTCTGCAGGAGCAGAAAGAGAAACAGAGACCAGCAGTGAATGTTGTTAAGTGACTGTCGACTTGGTGTTAAGGTGGGGATGGGTGGGTGGCTGAGCTCTGAAGCCTTGGACACGTCGAGTGGCTAAGCTAAGATGGGGACTAGGTGCTTGAATTGACCTAGGTATTAAGGTAGTAAGGCTGGGCCAGATGGGCTTAGGATGGGTGATGGGAGAACTAGTGAGGGTTTACCGGGGTCCTATTCACTCTTGGGCTCTAAAGAGTCTTCATTCTATTTAGTGCAGGTTGAAAAGTCCTAGGCTGAATCCTCATTTTATTGACGAGTATAGTTCAAAGTGCTTCAGCAACTAATTCAGTCCTGTGCAATGGAAATCAGTGGGTCTGGAAACCTGTGAATCACACTGAGAAAGGAAAGAGACAGGTGTTCTCATGAACCAGACAGAAAGAAAGCTTCCCTCCCAAAGCTTTCTTTTCTTTCTGAATTCAATTTGATCTCTCAGGAGGAGGGGGTGTTCATTCTTTGGCATTAAAATAATTACTTTCCCCCATCCTCTTCCTCCCAGTGCTCCCTCTGGTAGCTGTCACTTTTCTCAGATGCTGGGCTTGGGGTTCTTTACTGCCAATGGTAAGCAAGCCCCCAAATGTCTGGATTGTGCATTCTATGGGACAGACCAGAAAATGAGGTCCTAGACTTAACCCGTTCAGTGAAAACAGGATAGGACAGCCCATTTTAGAGTTGATTCTATTTTATACGTCTTGGAAAGAGCTGTTTCCTAGCTCCTTGCCTCCTTTTGGTTTTTGGCGTTTGTTGTCAGGGACCTGGAAGGATTATAGCGGGGATATTCTTGGAATTTTTGTTCTGTTCCAATCTGACCAGTTTGCATACAGAGGCACAGTATTGAATGCTCCTTCCTACACTGACCCCCCCCCCCAAAGGACGGTGGTGTAGGGGGCTCTGACGGGAACACTCCTGGATGGCAGTTAGTCTTCTGCACTTTCTAGCACTTGGCAGAAGAGAAACTTGGGGTGAGACCGTATCAATATACGCTTTTATGTTCCAGCTTTTCCCAGAAGGAGATCTAGCTTGGAATGGTGTGGAGATGGTGAAAACAGTCTTCCCAGAAAGTATACATATAAAATACTCCTTTTTTTTTTTCTTTTTGGCTCCTCTAGAATTCATTACTGACCTAGACTTGATCACTGACCTTGAGTTGATTAATGAACTTGATTTGATTAATGGCCTTGAGTTGACCGCTGAACTAGAGTCCACTGCTGACCCAGAGTTGGCCACCACAGAGTCCACCACCACCCCTGAGTCCACCGCCACCCCGGAGTCCCCCGCTGACCTGGAGTCCACCGCCACC